GAAGCTTCCGACCCAAGGAGGCTACCATGGATGAGCGGCGGAGACCGCGGCATGATTGTTCCCTCCGCTGGTCCTCGCCGAACCTATTTGGGCTGAGGAACACCCTGGAAGATTGAGCTGGTACAAATCGGAATCGGAGAGAGAGACGCCGCTCCCGGGAATGAGCTGATCCTCAGCCCGCCCTGGTGATTCCTCTCCGGCGGGAACGTTGACCTTACATGTTCTTGTTGTTCGGGGCTGTCGACAAATACTGACCATTGGTCTCAAACGTGTCAGTATGAAATGGAGCACGAGAACTCGACAGCCGAGTCAATAAATCTATCCTCCTGCTGCTCTGCTCACCAGGCTTTATCATTTCGAGCTTCCGGGGTGCAGCCTCTGGGAAGGATGATCTAGCTGCCTCTCCGAAGTCCGTCATTTGAAAATCAAAGGTCTCAATTAGAGAATTGGGTCATCACGGAGAGACGATCCTCTTCCGTTTCTGGACATTGTGTAGACTCCGATGTTTCGCTCAGATCTTGACATCATCGGATGCCTTATAGGAAAGGCATTCTGAGAGCATGGATAAAAAATCAATTCCAACTCCACATCTAGTCGACAGACACAGCAGTTGCTCGGCTAACGCCTTCCCGCTGAGATTCGTATCTGTCGGAGTGCAAAAGTTGAGTTTGATGACATGTTACAGAGTTTATTAAGTGACTTGAAAAGCCTCTTAGTGTCTCGTGAGGCGTGTCCACGGAATGAATCCCGGCGTTCGCACCATCTCTAATGCTCCGAATGCAACGAGACGTAACGTCAATGATATCAGAGCTGGAAGGCTCGAAGCAAAAATTAAACTTTTGAAACAGAGTCCACAAGCTTCTCGGAACTTTGTGCTCCTGTCATCCTCCTCAGCACACCGACGTTTGACAACAAGAGAAACTCTAACACACAGAACATCGAATACACGATAATTGAGGCGTCTCACGGAAAAAGTGCCCAAGTCTAGTTATGAAAAATTTTGAAATTCGCGGCTCCTCAAGCCTATACCGAGGAAACCCCGCAAAACTAACTATTTCCCGATTTTCTCAGGAAGGAAACGAAGTTATATTGCTTATGGTTCGATGTTCGATCACGTGAGACGAGCAAGTCGCGTTTTAATCAGCATCCTAATGGCTCCTCGGGGCGAAAAATGAATCGTCGAGGAGCGGTCTGAGAGTACTCGGGAAGTGCCGTTGTGAATGCAGGGAACGACTGTCGAGTAGAACGTGCGAGATTGTTTACCAGAAGTATCACTCGCTCTCGAAGTCTGAACAGACCGTTTTTTTGAGAGGTGCCGTTACGCCGAAGCCTGCTAAGACACAAAGTCATCCAGAGGGACCGAGCGGAAGAAGCGTCTTCGTGTATGTGATCGAGGCTAGAGGCTTCACGTACGAAGTCTGCCAG